GTTTGGATGTGGTTGGGGTGCCCCCAAGGGTCCCTATGTTGGGAGCTTGGCACTCAGGGTGGCAGTATCGGGAAGGGGAGGTCCTCGTGTCCTTGTGAGGACTTTCCTTTGAAGGAGATACAGTTTGGATATGTGGTGTCCCCCCAAACTTCTGTGTTAATGCAGAAATATTCAGAGGGGAAATGACTAATTTTGAGAACCGTAACCTCGTTTGAATGGACTGACTGGGGGTGACTGTAGGCAGGTGGGTGGCTGGAGAGGGGGGTCACTGGGGTCGTGTCCTGGGAGGGCGCATCTTCCCTGTGGTCTCTCTCCCTCTCTCTGCTTCCTGGCCACCATGAGCGGAGGTCTCTCCTCGGCCACACCCCTCCACCATGACACCCTGTTTCCTCTTGGGCTCAGAACAATGAAGCCAGACCTCCATGAACTGAACCCCTGAAACCAGGAGCCAAAATACACCTTTCCTCCTCCAAACTGCTCTGGTGGGGTATTTTGATTCCAGTGACAAAAAGCTGACTATCACAAAAGGGGTTAAGATAGCTCTCCTGCAACCCCTTAAGGTTTTGAAGCAGCAAGCCAGCCCCCCGCCCCCCTTCCTGGTTTGAAAAGCGACATCTTGCTCCTACATACACTCTCGCATGATGTGACACCATCCGCTGCCCTCAGCAGAGGCCAAGCCAACAGGGTTACCTGATCTTGATCTTTGATCCTCAAAAACTGTGATAAACCTCTTTTCTTCATAAGTATCCTGCCTCAGGCATTTCGTTATAATGATGGAAATCTAACACAGTGCCCAAACGATAACGGGGGAGCCAACCTGCCCTTCGTTCTTCTTTCTAGGTATCAGTTTTTACCTTCTAATCATTCTGAAGTTATTTCTAAATAGTATTTTTGAACACTGAAAAAGGAGAGCTATCCCACTAGCAGTGGAAGAGAAGCAGACAGGAACAGAGAGCTTGCTGGGAGAGAAACACCAGTGCCCGAATATAGCTGTTCCTGGTTCTCCAGGATCTGAACCCTCTGAGCAGGGCTGGGCAGGAGTCGGCGACTTCTGTCAGGTCCCAGGGTGTGTGGGACCGAATTCCTGAGGCGCCCTGGGCTGGGGCCTGAGCTCAGAGTTGCTACGAGGAGGAAGGAGGAGGCCCATGCCTTTTGATCCAGGAGACAGAGCATGAAAGGTGACTTTAACTCTCCACGGCTGCTCCTGCCCACCACTGCTGTTTTGAACTCAGGTCCCCACACCTCAAAGAGGGTGTCTGAGTGACCCGTGTCTCTCTCTTCCCACCTCCTACCTGAGGGGGAGGAGGATGCTAATTAAAACCGGTGGGTAGCCCACAACAGAGCACCTCGGGCCCTGGTTTCTATAGAAACTCCGTCCCCTGTCCCCTTCCAACACTCTCTCATCTCCTGACAAACTCTATTCCTGGAGACGTGGCTCTGCTCTGTCCTAACACTGTTCCTTCCAGTCAACCAGCAAACGAAGCCAGAGGTGTGCCCGGTGACGAGGACCACCAGGTACCCAGCAAACCTGCCCATCAGCCCCGTGCGCTGGACGCCCTGTTTTCCAGCAGTCGTTGGCCACACCCTCTCTGAATCCTAGGTGTTGGAGGGGACCTGGTTCCAGGTTGCCCCGCAGATACCCAAATCTGCAGGTGCACCAGTCCCTTCCACAGAATGCTGTGGTCTTTCCCTCACACCCGGAGCCATCTCTGGATTACATGCGATCCTCAATACAAGGCCAACGTTATGTGAATAGCCGTTACGTGCATTGTTTAGGGACTGAGCACAGATGGAAAGTCTGTGCGTGTGTAATACAGATGCAATTAAAACATTTTTTTTTTTTTGATCACTGATTGGTTGAATCAGAGGTTCCTGAGGCCAACTAGTGTGCACGGGCTGCCTGGACACAGTGCCCCACACTGGCGGGCTCACAGTCTCCGTTCTGGAGGCCGGAAGCCTGAGGTCCAGGTATAGGCAAGGGTGGGTTCCTCTGGGGCCCGGTGAGAATCTGTTTCCTCTCCTCAGCAGGCACGTGGCCTGTCTCCCTGTCTTTACACCATCTTCCCCGTGTGTCCGTCTGTGTCTGAATCCCGCCTTGCATGAGGACACCAGCCACAATGTCAGGGATGGCCCCAGCGGCCTCACTTCCTCTCCATTAGCTTTGTAAGACCCTGTCCGTAAACAAGGCCACGTTCTGAAGTCCTGGGGGTGAGGGTTCCAGTACGTCTTTTGGGGGGACATGGTTCAAACCACACCAGGCTCTGGTCGGGGAGGCCTGGCTGGTCTTCAAGCCCCACCACGGCTTGCTCCCGACTTACCCCAGTAAACCCCGGCTTCCCCGTGGGTGAAGCAGAGGACCAGGTCCCCTGGAAGCTGCAGTGTGGGGGGCAAATGAGGTGGCACTTCCCACGGTGCCTCGTCAATCCCCTTGTGATTCCTAGAGAGTAGCAGGTGCCCATCTGCCACTATCCCAGTGTCCCTCGGTTCCCCTGGGTGGGGCCTGCAGGGACCTGGGCCATGAAGGTCAAGGGCGCCCACCTCTCTATCCAGGGCTGACCTTGCTCAGCCCGCAGGCCACAGGCCAAATATGAGTCCCTCCAGGGGCAGACCTCAAGCCCGAGGGACAAGGGTCAGCAGGTAAGTCCTCCACCTTCCCCACAAGCGTATCCACGGCCGGCACAACTGAGCCCCAGCCCGGCCCCCTGCTGATGAGCGCAGCTGCTTTTCTTCTCCTGGTCTTTTCTCGGTCCCCCCCAGGGCACTATCTGCACCCAAGTCCTTCCCCTGGGGTTGGTTTTTGAGGAATTCAGGACAAAAAGGAACCTGTTGGTAGGTGTTTGGGATTTGTGCAAGGGACGCAGGGAAGGAGTGGTGGGCGCAGGACTGGAACCAGGGTTCTTTTGGCACTAGAGCCCCGGCCTCATTGACGAGCACCCCATCTCTTGTCCTGAACGCCACCGTACCCCTGTCCTCCCTCGATCCACTCATGCTTTTGACCTCTGTTCCACCACAGCAAGGAAGCCGTCCCTCCCGTCCTCTCCTGAGGACATAACTGACCCCAAATCACTTCAGAGCAGGAGACACCGGAGACCCCCAGGTCCCTTCCTGCAATACCCAATGTGGCCAGGAGGGGGTGACACATCTCAGTCCACGTGGCATTTACCTGGGTCAAGTCAAGCAGTTTTGGAGCAAAGAGTCCCAGTGCCAGTGTGTGAGTCATGGGGAAATAGTCTGTATTCCTATTTGTCAGCATTGGGGTGACATGAAGTGTGCCACCTAATGTCCTAAAGCTTCGGTTTCAAAAGGCTGCGATAAGGATTAAATGAGATAGCACCTGTACTGGGTTAGCACACTGCGTGGCTCATGGACGGCCACCAATAAGTGGGAGATGTTAGTACAAAGGGTTAAATAGGCACACAAGCCTTTGTCATGTGGAGGTCAGGAAGGAGCGCTTATTTCAGTCTTGGAAATAAGGGAGGGACAATTTAACCTGGGCCTTAAGAACAGGAGCTGTTGCTTAGCATGCATCAAGCCCTGGGCTTAATCCCCATGACAACCATGATGCTCATATAAATGGGAAGAGTCGGTCCAGAGATGGAGTGAGAAAACAGAAGCCTCACGTGATCTCCTGGATCCAGCTATGCCTGAAGCCAGAACTTCCCCTGTTGCTTCAACTACTTGGGATTGATTTCCGGCCACTTGTCTTCTCTTTTGGTGGATTCTCCTCTCAGTCTTCGGATCAATACACTTTCATGTTTTAGCTGTTCTTCCTTCCAGGACCCCACACTAATGTTACCCACAAGGTCCAGCATGACTGGCTGTCGGATCCCACTATGGCAGGCTGTACGCCAGCGCTCTACCACTGAGCCACCACCCCAGCCCCTCCATCCTTTCTATCCCACGTTCATGAAGGAAAAAAAAAACACCAATACATGGCACAAATAAATAATCTTTAATTTCAATAAACAGCTCCTCATCACGCTAGACGGTACACTGGGGGGAAAGACACAGAAGCATCCAACAGGGAGAGGGAGAGACCTGTGCTAATTCTACACTAATTCCTCAGCACGTGAGAGGGGACTCGGTCCACACGCGGACACACCAAGCTCCTCCGAGTGTGGTTAAGAAGGAGGTGATCATGGATGGGGTGTGTGGCCACGTGACTCCACGGGAGTCCCCGGTGGGTCTTCATCGCCAGGATTCGGTCAGAAAACGTCAGCTTTTCCCTATCACGTCCCTAGTGACTCGACACACACACACATCCCGAGGGGGAGGGTCTTCAACAGACAGAGGACACGGGGACTGGGTGAAATCTCACAGGGTGCGGGAGGTGGACAGAAGGGCATGCTCAGGGCGGGGGTCCTGGCCGGTACCTGCTCTCCAGGACACGTAGGCACAGAAGTGTTCAGCGGAGGGGCACATGCACACAGAGACACGCACAGGCCCCCGGGGGAGTCAGTCCCCTGGGGTAAGCTGACACAAGGACAGGTTCAGTTCAGCCAGGAGAGGGTTCTCACGCTTGGGGTAGTTCTGCGTGTGTGTGGCTATTTGGTTTCTCCAAATAATCTAATCTCTATGTGACAGTCACTAGGGAGGAGACGACGATACTTACACCTTTGTAGAGAGGTATTGGGTTTGGAGAGCCCCAGGGAACGGCCGCCTGTCCAGGGATGGGTTTCAGGACGGGGGGGGGGGGGGGATCAGGGCTCCCACCTGCTGGCCAAACTCTCGCTCAACTTAGTCTTGGAGATTGGCACACTCAGGAGGCCCTTTCTCCCCTCGGGGTACAAAGTGCATTTGGGGACAAGGGCATCAACAGGAGCAGCGCTGGCAGTAAGTCCCACGGCCCACTCAGCGCTCGAGATGTCACGGGGCTTCTAGAAAGTTCTCAGGCCTCCCTCAGTGAGGGCGGCCGTTGTGTGGTCAATAATCTGCTTCCTCTCGGTTCTGAGAGGTCGTAGGTGAGTGTGTGTGTGTGTGTGTGTGTGTGTGTGTGTGTGTGTGTGTGTCTGTGCGGAGGAGTGTGAGCAGGTGTGGATGGAATAGGGAGGTGACACATTTTTTCTGTCTTTTTTTTTTTCTTTAAGCAATTGAAAGCCGTGGCCCCTGCGGCCCTCAGGTCACCTCCAGGGAGGCAGGGGACACGCGGTCACACTCCGCCCGTGACCTCAGGCTGTGCCACTGCTCCACGGCCGTGCGGTGGGTGTTGAGCATCCGTCGCCAGTGGTTGGACTCGGAGGGTCCCGAGGAGTACTGGCCGATGACAATCCTCCCGATGAAGTCGTTGCTGCTCTTCATGTTGTGGCCGAACACTAGGGCGCAGGAGGGGAGAGAAGGGGGGACGGGACAGAGAGCAGGGACAAGACAGAGACCGTTAGCCGCCACACTGCGCCTCTGCGTATGGGCTCGCTGCTCTGGGGTCGGGGTCTGTTTCTTTCGTGGACAGAGTTCCCCGATTCCCTCCCCTCCTCTTCCCGTGAGTCTCTCTGCAAAAGCCACATGGGGTGTCCCGCTGTCCCTGACCACGCAGGCCCTGCTCCCACCGCCCAGGCTCCCCTTTCAGCCAGGTAGCTGCAATTCCTGTCACTACGCACTTAGGGTCCCCTGCCTCGCCAGGCTGCCTCAGAGCAGTGGATGGTTCTAGAAGCTGTTCCCGTGAGCCGCTGCAGTCCAGCTGAGTGGGCACCCCTGAGCTGCTCAGTGCTGGCCCTGTTGGCGCTGTGGGCTGGATGACCTTTTGCTGTGCACTGTAAGAAACGTAGCCGCATCTCTGGGGTCTAGCAACTAGATGCTAAGAGCAGCCCTCACCCTAAAAGTCTCCCGAAGGTGGGGAGACATTCATTCATCCCCATGAGAACCACCAGGGTTAAGCTCTGGGGTGAAACCCAGCTCTGTCCTTTGACAGAGCCCTGTGACTCTGAGGCGAGGAAGGTAATCTCTCTGAACCTCAGATTCTTCTTTGGTGCAAGAGGATTCCTAGTAGGACGTCATCTCACAGGTCGAGGTGAGGTTCCAAGGACATCGTGTGTGGAAAGCTCCCAGCTCCCATCACCGGGTCCCTAGCAAGTGGTTTCATAGCAAGTGCTCAATAACGACTGCACCGCCATTGGGTCCTGAACTTCTGTCCCAGGAAGAAGGCGACTTTGCTGAGAGAAGCGGCCGGGGCAACTTCTGCCACCTGGGTGAGGCCCGTCTCCTTGGAAGGCTTCTTTGTAAATTCCCAGCACAAGCTTCATTTATGTCTTTTAAGCCCTAATGAGATGGTTCGCTTGATTTATCTTCCCGGCCAAGTTCTGTCTAATTCTTTACGTGCATGTGGGTAGCTGAAGCATAGCAGCCCGCTAATGGGGGAGCAGGCTGTGTCGCTCATAAATGAAGGGCCGCAGAGGGGGAAAGATCACACACTCACCCAGCGTGAGCCGAGCCAAGGCAGGCGGGATCCCAGGAGGGAGGCCGATTATCAGATAAAACAGCTAAAATATGCAGCCCCAAACAGAGCTTGAACACTAACGAGCCCCATTCTCCCCCGTGGGGCTCATGCCAAGCATTTCAAATGATAAAAATGGGGGGGAAAAAAAGAGGAGTGGAAAAATAAAGACAAGACCCTCTCGCCCCCATCCAATATCTAATAACCAAGAAGACCTAATGACGTAGGATCAGTCAAACGCAAAGCCACGTCCCTCCTGGGGTCCTGTGCCGGGTCAGCTCTGTGGGGGAAAAAATGGACCATGTATGTTTTTTGTACATTTGGTAATGTGCCCAGTACACACAGGTGGACTTCATTTACATGAAAATCCCTTACAAAAGAAGGGAAATGTCAGGAATAGAATCTTTGTTTAATAAAGGATTAAGGCTCTTTGACGCACTTGAAAAACAATTTTAAAAACAGGGAGCACTCAGGACTTCTCTGAAACATGCTTAGTGGGGGATACAGGTTGGAGGTCACCAAACAAGAATGAATTCCAGACTCCCCTTCCCTGAGGGCATCAGATCTAACAGAATACAATTATGAGACTGTTTTAGGCTTCATTTGTTTTTTTCTTCCAGGGGCAAAACATTCTCTCCTTCTCCCTGTGTCCAAAGCTTGAGGATATCAATGAATAACATACCTAAATGGGTATGGGTTTTATGTCCTTGGGAAAGGGCTTTTTTTTTTTTTTAAATTCAGGGGCACTCGCCCACTGAACCACATCCCCAGCCCTATTCTGTATTTTATTTAGAGACAGGGTCTCACTAAGTTGCTTAGCACCTTGCTGAGGCTGGCTTTGAATTCGCCATCCTCCGGCCTCAGCCTCCCAAGCCGCTGGGATGACAGGCATGCGCCACCACACCTGGGGGGGAAAAGGGCTTTAAGAAAGGAAATCTTAAGGACTCTCATGTGCTCTTGCTGGAAGAGCAAGTTGGTTCGACTTTTGGAGTATCTGTTCAAAATAAAAGTGTCCTAACTTGAATCCCAACACACTCCCTTAGAGGACTGTTATCCCACAGAATTTTCTGCACAAATGCACATACAAGTATATTTTACACAGACGGGTTTGGCAAAGTAGAGTCTCCAAGCTGGATCCGGTCCACCACCTGTTTTTGTAAATAAAGTTTTATTGGAACACTGCCAAACCCATTTGCTCATGTATTTTTTTTTTTTTTTAACATAATGTCGCTTTTCGGCTACAGAGCAGGAATGATGTCATTCTGTTCAGGGTGCTATCACAAAATGCCAAAAACTGAGTGGCTTATAAACAACAGAATATTTATTTCTCCCCCGTGGCTCGGGAGGCTGAGGCAGGAGGACTGTGAGTTCAAAGCCAGCCTCAGTAACTTAGCAAGGGCCTAGGCAACTGAGTGGCAGAGCACTTGCCTAGTGTGTGTGAGCACTGGGTTCGATTCTCAGCACCGCAGATAAATAAGTGAATAAAACAAAGGTCCATCAACAACTAAAAAATATTTTTAAAAAAGGGGCGGGGGTGACTGGGGATGTGGCTCTTTACCAGTGTAAAGCACCCCTGGATTCAATCCTTGGTACCAAAAAGATAATAATAATAAAGAAAGGAAGGGAGGAAGGGAAGGAAGAGAGGAAGAAAGAAAGAAAATTTATTTCTTATAGTTCCGGAGGCTGAGAAGATCAAGGAGCTGGCGAATTTGGACTCTGGTGAGGGCCCTTTTCCTCGTGGTGTCTTCTCACCACTTTCCAATATGGTAGAAGGGACAAGCCAGCTCCCTGGTGTCTTTTGTAAGGACACTGGTTCCTTTTGGGAGCGTGGGTCTCAGGACCTAATGGCCACCCCCAGGCCTGGCTCTTGACATCACATTGGGGATTGCAATCCAACATGAACTGGACTCATGTCTGAATTCTGTCTGAATCCTTTTGCTATAATCAACTGTCACCATGAACACAATGGCTTTGCTCCATTCTGTGAGTCCCTCTAGTGAACCAGAGGGTGGTTTTGAAGACCTTGTAGACTGTAGACCCCTCGCTCATCAAATGTCCCCAACTGGTTTGCCCCCCCTTTTTTTGTGTGTGGGGGGGGTGAGGGCACCAGGAATTGAACCCAGGGGCTCTTAACCACTGAGCCACATCCACAGCCCTTTTTATTTTATTATATTTTGGGACAGGGTCTCATTAAGTTACTTCTAAGTTGCCGAGGCTGGCTTTGAACTCACAATCCTTCCTTTTTTAAAAAAATAGATTTTATTTATTTATTTATTCAATCACTTATTTGTTGGTTTCTATGCGGTGCTGAGATTCGAACCCAGTGCCTCACACATGCTAGGCAAGTGTTCCACCCCTAAGCCACAACCCCGACCCTCACAATCCTTTCTTATCTCATCTCCCCACTCCCTTAGTGCTACTTTCTGTGGGGCAAGTGATCATCCGAGAATCCACTTTGGGAGGTGCCTACACTGACCCTGAGGAGCGCTAAGAATCTCATGTAATAATAGCATGGAAATCCACATTACTGTTAAAAATGAGACATACCCAAGTACATGAGATGGAAAAGTCTCTACGACGTTGCTGGGAGACAAAAGTGGGTTGCAAAACTGTACATGTAAATACAACCTCTTTTTGATAAAGCAGAGATTTACATGTGAAGAAAACTCTGTATAGAAGAGTGTCAGTTCACCCAGCGGTGGAGAGCAACTTTCTCTAGAGCGAAATCGCTATAATTTCTGTATTACGTAAGTATGTACAGTTTGAACTTCTTATCACCAGTACATATTCTGGAAAGAAAACAAAGAAAAAAAAATAAGTGGCTCTTAGAGAATTCACATCTAAATCGCCAGAAGGGAAGAAAACGAAAAGGAAGTCTAATAGCCTACGCGTCTTATCCCAATTTGCAAAGTAACTTGGCTGGTGAATCACTTGGCTCTGGGGAGGCGAGGTGGGCGCGCTGGAGGGACGCAGCCCTCCCCAGGGGAGGGCAGCGCTGTCCCGGCCATCTGAGTTGACTGGCAGGCGTCAGCCTTTGCAGATCACTTGGTAGAGTGAGGGCACCCGGAACATTTTTGAAAAAAAAAATTCAAAATTTAAAATGCAAATTTATAAGCTGAAGCTGATGTAGAACTAATGACTTCTAGTCTCTTGGGAGAATACCAAGATTCGCCCTCCCTGGCTGGAGTGTGTTGCTGGAGAGAACAGAGTATTAAGATTTGACATCTAGAATCCAAAACAGGGATGAGAGGCAATGAGACAGAGACCCCTGCCCCCTCCCTTAATGGCTAAGGAAACCGAGTCAAACGGCTAGCAGCGTTTGAAGCAACCAACATGCAAAAGAAGCCAATTCCTTATAACTAGGGCCCTAAATTTCCTCTCTTTAGAAATATTCAGAACTACAATTTTTGTTCTAAGCACCTCCCTACCCCATTTCTCCTACTCACTGTTACCGGGGCCATATTGGAATGCAGACATGAATGTATTACTGGATAATGGATTGACTCCAAGTGCCCCCTGGTCATCAGGAACCCATTTCCCAACAACCTGAACAACCCAGATTATAGCAGAAAAAAAAAAAAAAAAACTAAAAACAAGCAAACCCTCCACCCCAAACATGCATTAGAACAGATGACACACAGCTGGTGCACAAAATTCATGGGGAGGAATTCTCAGGCTTTCTGTAAGAATCTATTTACTGTATTTTACAGCAAAATCATTGCAGATTTGAAATGAGTTTTTAACTTAAGAGTTATTGACAGATCTGTCTACCTCTGTGGTGCCGATCACCATAGCCACCCAGGTCAGGGAACCACTGGGTCCCAAGGGCAGGCTCTGGAGGAGCCTGAGAAGCAACACTGATTTACTGAGCACCTACTATGTGTT